GCTGCACGAGCGGCACGCGCCGCTGGGGCAGGGCCTGCGGGCCTGGTGCGGCGACCTGCTGGACCGCGTGCCCAAGGGCCTGCGGCAGACCACCGCGAAGGCCGAGGAGGAGGAGGAGGAGGAGGAGGAGGAGGAGGAGGAGGAGGAGGAGGCAGAGGAGGAGGAGGAGGGAGGAGGAGGAGGAGGGGAGGAGGAGGAGGGAGGAGGAGGAGGAGGAGGAGGAGGAGGAGGAGGAGGAGGAGGAGGAGGAGGTGCAGGCACCCGCGGAGCTCGCCGCGCCCCATCGACCACACGAGGGGAGCGAGCAGTGGCATGAACATAAAGACTCGGAGCTCCGCGCGGATCTCTCGGATCCGCGCTGGACCCCCCTGGCGGCGCGCTCCGGGCGCCGCCCCTGGCGCGCTCCGCGCGCCAGGGAGGGGGTTCCAGCGCCGATCCGAGGAATCCGCGCGGACCTTCGAGTTTTTCTGTTATGCCATTGTCCGTTCCCCTGTTCTCGCCGCGTCCCGTCGACTACACGAGGATGTTTGATATGTCTTGCTTTGGGGGGGCTTCGGGAGGCCTCTGGAGGCATCCGGAGACGCCTCCGGAGACGTGCACGAGCCTCCGGGGGCCTCAGGGGACTTTTCCGGAGGCCTCCGGGGCGGCGGCGAGAGGCGTCGGGGGGGCTGCAGGCCGAGTGCTCCCACGCGCAGGGAGGTGCCCGACGGGGCGCCGCGTGTTCGGGAGGGGCACGGCTCGACTGCACGCGGGAGTGACCCTTCGCCGGAGTGACCTTTCGTGCGGGCCCCCCCGATCGCCGAAGGCGATGCGATGGCAGCGTCTTGCACGCCTCGTGTTGGACCCCCCCGCGGCGCCCAACAAGCCGCGCACCAAAGGTAGGAGGGTGGGTGGGCCGTCTTACGGTCACAGGTGCTTGTCTTGCCAACGGGCCACGAATTGCCAACGAGCCAAGGGTACTGTTGCCTCCTTGCCTCCTCGGTCTCTCCTGGGCCACTTTCGCTGGTCGCGCCCCGCTCGAAAAGCTCCGGCACGGCCTTCCGAGGCCCTTCCCCCCGGGTGGTGCGTCCTTCTGATGCGGGCCGGCTGTGGCGTCTTGCACGCTTGTGCTGGTCCCCCCCCCCCGAGGAGGAGGACGAGGGAGGAGGAGGAGGAGGAGGAGGAGGAGGAGGAGGAGGAGGACGAGGGAGGAGGAGGAGGTGGAGGAGGAGGAGAAGGAGGAGGAGGAGGAGGAGGCGGAGGAGGAGGAGTAGGAGGAGGAGGAGGAGGGTCAGGAGGAGGGGAGGAGGAGGAGGAGGAGGGTCAGGAGGAGGAGGAGGGTGAGGAGGAGGAGGAGGGTGAGGAGGAGGAGGGTGAGGAGGAGGAGGAGGAGGAGGGTGAGGAGGGTTAGGAGGAGGAGGAGGGTGAGGAGGAGGAGGAGGGGGAGGAGGAGGAGGGGGAGGAGGAGGAGGAGGAGGAAGAAGAGCCGCGCACCAAAGGCCCCTCTTGCCCAGGGCCACTCCTGCGTGTGGCCGACCTCCGGCCGCCCTGCGGCGCGTGCGCGGGGGGGGGGCGGGGCGGGCGCGGCGTCGCGGAGCAGCGGCGGGCGCGGGCGGTCGTCGTCGTCGTCGTCGCCGTCGCCGTCGTCGAAGTCGTCGTTGTCGTCGTCGTCGTCGTCGTCGTCGTCGTCGTCGTCGTCGTCGTCGTCGTCGTCTTTCGCCCTTGTTTTCCTTTACCGTTCAGTATTTTCCCTTGCTCTCCTGGTCGGCCAGCAGGTCGTGGGGGGTTCAGCGCAAGCGGGGCTCAGGCAGAGCGCCGGATATCCTGCAGGAGCCTGCGAGGCCAGATGTTTTGGCCGAGCCGATCTTGGGAGCCGCTCGGGGGCCTGGAGTTGGCCCTATTTTTTAATTCTGCCTGGGGAAACCAAAAGGTACCGACACCACTGCTCCCTGGACTTTTCCCGGGATGCGTTCTGACCAGGATTTCGAGGCGAATCCAGCGGTGGCGACGTGGGCCTCCTAGGAGGCCCCAAACGGGGGAAACGACGGAAGGGTACCGGTATCGGTACTTTTCCTCCTCCGACCGCCGGGCTTGGACCCCCCCCCAAAACAAACTTAGCTGAGCTCGGTTTGCGCTGAGCTGGGTTCGTCCACGCCCGTCCAGGGACCCGGGCCCCATCGCGTCGTGGAGGAATTGCAGCAGGGGCTCGACCACAAGAAACCTTCCACAGGAAACCCAGCCCTGAGACCCCAGGACGTCCATTGGTTTTTGGTGCGGGAAGGTCACGCTTTCCATAGCACAGACATCGAAGCCAAATGAACCCAGGGCACCCTGGAGGCAACCAGGGTGTTTCATGGCATGGGTCTCCACTGTACGGCGGCCCGCTTCTGGTATTTGTCGGCCGCTGGGGGCCCTTCCCGGTCTTGGCGTCGCATTTCTTGTGCAGCGGCCGATTTTTGCCTCTCGAACCCCAGGGCCCTCACGGACTGATCTGGTTCGAGAACTGCCGCAGAAAGACGCAGAGAGACGGTGCCCAGGGCTCAGAGCTCTTTTGCGATGTAAAATGCTTCCGTGACGTCAGGTCTCAGTGGCGTCGTGAAGAGATCACGGCGGCCAGCTTTTGCATCGTCGGCCTCTGGAGGCCCCTTGGCGGGCTCTGGGGGCCGTCAGAAACCGACTCGGGATGACAGTCTGGTCCCCAGGAAGGGGTCGGGGCTTTCGAGGGTCCACGTGGTGAACAGAACACGATGTCGGGGGCCTGCGGAGGACCCGTCCTTCTTTTGGCGGCGAGCGATGGGGGGGAAGTGAGAAGGAGAAGGCCTTCTCAGAAGGCGGCGGGGCTTCTCAGAAGCCCTCGCGCCCTCTGAGAGGCTTTTTTTGTGTCTCTGGGGAAGGCTTAGAACGCTCCTCAGAAGGCCGGGGGACTTCTGCGCCTTCCGAGAAGGCCTTCTCCTTCTCATCTCCCACAGCCCACCCTTGCGAGCCGGCCTCGTCCTTCGAGGGTCCCTGTGGCCACCGGCCTGTATCTCAGGGGGGGGGGGGTCGCCTGGGTCACCACTGCAGGGGCGCAAGGAGGGACGCGCTGCGCGCTGTGGCCGCATGCCTGCAGCCAAGGGGGTGAGGGGCAGCTCACGCAACAGTCGGGACGCCGAGGGTGGTGGTCGGCATCCCGAAAGTGGAGGGGCGGGGTTCAGAAGGTGAGGGTGAGGATCCCGAGGTGGGGTGCGGGATCCCGAGGTTGACGGTCCGAGGTTTGCTGGATTACAGCCGGCCCAAGCTAGAAGACGGAAGGTTGAATGCTTCCGTCCCGAGGCACTCCCCGACCCTTCCACTTCGCACCTCGCACCTTGCACCTCCCCGGCGCTCCGCGGCGCACTCCGGCACCCATTGGCGCCTCCCCGGCGCCTCTCCGGCGCTTATCCGGCGCTCCCCTGGCGCTGCCTCGGCGTCGCGCCTCGCGCATCGCACCTCGGCGCTCCCTGACGCCGCTGCCCGCGCTCCACGAGCACTCCATAGCGCTCCCCGTGCGCTCCCCTGGCTCTCCCCAGGTTTTCCACCCGAAGTACCCCACCGGTTCCCTGGCGCTCCCCTGGCGTTCCCCCGACGCTCCCCCGCCGCCTCCTCGCGGCTACGCTGGCGCCCGCCCGCCGCTCCCCCGGCGCTCCGTGGGCGTTCCCACGGCGTTGCTTGGGCCGCTCCCCGGGCATCCGTTCCCTGGCTCTACCCGAGCGCTCGCCCCGACGTCCGCCCCGCTCCCTCTCGGCGCACGCGGGCATTCCCAGCGCTCCCCAGCGCCCTCGGCGCTTCCTGCCACCCCCGGGCTTCATTCCTCTAGGCGCTCCTTGGGCGCTCCCCGGGCGCTCCCCGAGTATCCTCTAGTATTGTTGAGCATTTTCGGAATGCGGGATCTCATCCCTCGGGACCTCGGGACCTCGAGCCTCGGACCTCGGGACCTGGGGACCTCGGGCTTTCGGGACCTCGGACCTCGGGACATCGGACCTTGGGACATCGGACCTCGGGACATCGGGACCTCGGACCTCGGATTTCCGACCTCGGACCTCGGATCTCGGATCTGGCTTGCGCCCCAACTTGCACCTCGGCTTGCGCCTCGGCTTGCACCTCGGCTGGCATCCCAGCTTGCACCCCAGCGCGCCGCTCGGGATGGAGGCACACAAATGCCCTTGCTCTAGCATTGAAACACACCTCACAGCCGCGAGCCGGGGGCAGCCAGGAGCCAGGAGCAGCGAGGTGCGAGGCGCGAGGTCCTGCAACTTCGAGTTTTGCGGCCGCTGGAGGAAGGCACCCCAAGCGTAGGCAGCTGGACGTGCAGTGCCCATCACGGAGCAGCGCTGTTCCCCGCGCAGCTCGCGCTGTTCAAGGGCCCGCGCCCGCAACTTCGTGAACTTTGCGCGCTGAGGGAGGAGGGCGCTGCTTGAATTTCCCGAACTGCGCGAGCTGGGGACGAGAGCATTCTAAGCGTGGGCACGTTCCGTATGCTGGCGCACAGGGGGTACGCTGGTTGGCAACGCGTAAGGTAGAAGAAGGGCGGCCTGCGGGCGAGCGTGCTGCGTGTGCTGGTGGGCAGCTCCTGGGGTAGACGATATAGTCTTAAACGCTCCGGGTCGTCGTGATCTGCCCGACGTCATGCATTGGTGGTGGGCAGGCGGGTGGCTCTTGGGGTAATGGTAGGAGGTGCGCTCTGCCGGCCTGGGCTTTGACGCTCGGAGCTGCAACGATACCAGGAGGCTCCGGGCGTCAAGAGTTACCAGGGCATGTTCCGCTGAGCTGGGCTTTTTTACCTTTTCCTTTGCAAGGTCCACGGTGGCCACTTAACTTCTGCTTTTGGGTCGCAGAGTGGCCGCGGATTCCAACATATAGTTTGAGAACGTGCTATGCGCGTTCTCTTACGGCTGCCAGGGCCTCGGTATTGGCAGTAATCTAGAATTACATAGTTTGTCAAATCTTTGGCTACATCGCGCCCCCAAAGTATCATAGAGTTACCGTTCTATAAACCATATTAGATCCGGGTTTAGTTTTGAAAAGTAGTTATAATTTCAATGGCTTTGGCTACCAGACTATCTGCTATGGCTTTATTTTTATGTGTGTTTCGCCCTTGTGCGGCACCGCTGGGTTATAGCGGGGTCGATGTCGACATGAATGACCTCATGATTGTTTTCTCTCCAAACCTTCCCGACCCCCCCCCGTCCCACTAAACAATTGTAGAAGTCTCATGTAGGAAAGCGTGATTTTTTCACACGACTAGGCCCTTAGAGGGCGACAGGCTTTTAAAAACGTTCCTTGCTGCGGGCCCATACATAACATGTGTGTGTGTGTGTGTGCATGTTCCCTTCCCTCCACGTGCATTCGCACGTCGCTGCTGGGGTCGTGTCCGTTGTCATGTCGCTTGCGCGTTGTTGCTGATGTCGTGTCCGTTATCACAGTCGCTTGCGCGTCGCTGCAGGGGTCGTGTCCGTCACCGCGTCGCTCGGGGGGGGTTATTAACTCTGAATGTTCCGGGTTGGATAATAATATCCCTCCACCGTGTCGCATTCAAACAGCATTTTGCGCAACGCAAAACGAACAGCAGCTCGCTCTCAAGGAAGAAATAATTCACACTAACAATGACCACAGTGAAACTTGGCTGCCTAATAGCAGTCACGATTGGCTCGACTCACCGATTGGCCCAATTTAGCTCCCTCCAAATGTGATAACAAATAAAAAAGTGATAAAATATATAAATGTGATCACAGAACTTGTTTAGAAGGGTGTCCGGAGGGGTCCTTACATTCTGTGGATGAGGGGGCACCTAAGGATTCCCTAAACAAAAACATACTATGTATATTTGTTTTTTTGGAGGGGGTGCTTAATGCCATATGGCCTACAAATATGGACGGTCATCTATACTTTTGGAAACAACAGTATTAGAAACGTGATAAACAATAATTAAAAAGTTATAGAAGTGATACAAAAACAGTAATGCACATACTTTTCCAACGAAAAACATAGACCCACACAATTACACATAAAGGGGGTAGTACTAAAGAGTCCCTACAACAAGCAAAAACATATGTTGTTTTTTCTTTTCGGGGGTCCCATACAAAGCAAACAAAGAAACAAAGGATATTTGGGGATAGGGGAAAGTTACTGCCCCAAGTGACCCGATTGGCCCGACTGCTGTTTGGGGTGGCGAAGGAAGACCATAGCGATCCAGTGGCAGCAGGAACCCTACAAGGTTGATGTCACCATCAAAGAGTATGAGGTCATTCAGAACGTATCATATTTGATAATTTTCGGTGTCGATGGTCTCTGAACCCTTACTTTCATGTATAAATGCATACCACAACTCTACCTTAGAAGCAATCCGATGTTTTCATAAATGTACGTGCGCAGCGATAAACATTCTGCAGATATCACGCTGGTGCACATAGGGATGTGGGCCTGGATGTGCATACAAACAACAGTAGAGTCATTCTATCCGCATACGAGTATACATACAACATAGACATGAGTCTTGTTGGGGTTGCATGTGATGCCATGCATACTCAAACTCCTGTAAATTCATTTGCAACTCAATCAGAACTATTCCTTAACTAGTCGCTTTTATATGGTTCACCCCAGGGGGGTACCCATGGTATCCCAGGGCGGGGCCATCGGGACGGGGTTGTGGGTTTGCTGAATGGATTTCCAGGCCAGTGCAATTAATCCGTTATGGTAGAAATTCCACAGCCACTTGGCTCAAGCCGTTTGGTTCAAGTGGTAAGATAAAGTCCTCAAGCCAGATGCGCCTTCCAAAAGAATGACACAATTCGAGTCTCAGCAGCTCGTTGAATCAGATTTGATCAAGGCAGTCGATGACGGAGATGTGGCCAGTGTTGAGCGAGGTCTCCTGCAAGGGCTTGATGCGAATTGCCGGGACAACTTTCAAAATAATCACATGAGCCTACTACATTCTGCAGCCGGTTTTGGCCACTTGGCAGTTGCCAAAGTCCTCTTGGATAATGGCGCCGATCCGCATGCTAGGGATCGATTCGGTTACACACCGTTGATCTTCGCAGCGGCGTATGGCCACTTGGAGATCACGAAGGTTCTGCTTGCAAAGAGAGCGGACCCCAATGCGAAGAACATCCAAGGGTGGACTTCTCTGCACCGCGCGGCGGCAAGGGGTCATCGCAAGATCGTCATGGCCCTCTTGGAGCTGGGCGCGGATGTGCACGCCATTGCAAACGGCCACAATGGCGAAACTTTCACTCCTTTGAGCATCGCTCGTTTCCACCGTCGCCAGGAGGTCATCGCGGTCTTCACAGAAGAAGAACGCAAAAAAGAATTGTTCACGCTTCGCGAATCCCCACCAGCCCATCCTAAAACAGCCACTTTAGCAAAGAGTACCGACTGTCGGGATTTGTTGGTCATGTTTTCAGCAATGATGCCCAGAGGAGTTGCTTTGATTCGATCAGAGAACTGTGGGAGCATACAGAGAAACGAAGGACAGGGGGTGCCGCCATATCCCAAGAGGGGAGGATGGAGGAGGAATCGGAGGAGGAGGTGGGGGAGGGGAGGAGGGAGGAGGAAGAGGGGGAGGCGGACGAGGAGGGGAGGACGAGCAGAAGGGCCAGAGGCCTCTTGGATGCATCGCGGAGTCTCTTGGGATGTCTTGTGGGAGCCTCTTGGAGGCCTTTTGGGGCGTCTTGGGGGCCTCTTGGCGGCCCCAGGGGCTTCCAGGAGCGTCTTGGGTGCCTCGGGGGAGCCTCTTGGGGCCTCTTGGGGGCCTCTTGGGGGCATCTTGGGGGCCTCTTGGAGGCCTCTTGGGGCCTCTTGGGGCTCTTTGGGAGGGGTCTGGGAGGTATCTTGGGGCCATCTTTCGGGCGATCGATCACAGATGGGGCGAGCACTTTTCTCCCTCCCCCCGTCGGGGCCACGATCCTCGTGAGGGGTGTCGAATTTTAGCCCTCCCAGGAGTCGAAAAAGACCCCTCCAACGACCCGCGGAAGGACCTCTCCAGGCCCAGGGGGAGGGGGTAGGGGGAGGGGTAAACCCCTCCCCGAAAGGGAAGAAGGGGGTTGAGAACAGAGCGGGCTCTCTAAACCACTCACGCCCAAAGGGCTGGTGCTCGTTGAATCAGATTTGATCAAGGCAGTCGATGACGGAGATGTGGCCAGTGTTGAGCGAGGTCTCCTGCAAGGGCTTGATGCGAATTGCCGGGACAACTTTCAAAATAATCACATGAGCCTACTACATTCTGCAGCCGGTTTTGGCCATTTGGCAGTTGCCAAAGTCCTCTTGGATAATGGCGCCGATCCGCATGCTAGGGATCGATTCGGTTACACACCGTTGATCTTCGCAGCGGCGTATGGCCATTTGGAGATCACAAAGGTTCTGCTTGCAAAGAGAGCGGACCCCAATGCGAAGAACATCCAAGGGTGGACTTCTCTGCACCGCGCGGCGGCAAGGGGTCATCGCAAGATCGTCATGGCCCTCTTGGAGCTGGGCGCGGATGTGCACGCCATTGCAAACGGCCACAATGGCGAAACTTTCACTCCTTTGAGCATCGCTCGTTTCCACGGTCGCCAGGAGGTCATCGCGGTCTTCACAGAAGAACGCAAAAAAGAACTTGCGTTCCGTCATGAGGCGCATGTCCAAGCCTTCAGGATGGCGACGGACGACATTGAGAAGTTTTGGGAGATCATATGCCCTGAACTCATTCCGGACCAGTGGGTGCCAAGGCAGTTGATTCATGCAGGTCAACTCGGCGCGTTGTTAGCTATTTTCTTCAAGTCCGGGGTTGCAGATGCCAATCCTGACGTTTCTGAATGGATACGCAAGACTCACAGTAAGTTGTTCGAATACTTGTTGAGGATTGATGCTTGCGTGCGCGACGAGCTACAGAAGCGCAATCTTCCGATGGCAACACTTAGAGATCGCAAGAGCTACCTTGCAATTCCTTTCTACATGTTGGAGATGTTGAAGCAGGGCAAGAACACCGATTTCCACTTTGAGGTGACAAGGTATTTTTCTGGCAACATATTGACCCACCTAGCTACATGTATTGACGATCCTGATGCCGCTCCTCATTACCCTTTTGATGAACTCCTGTGTGCCAGCTTCGCGGGATGCACAATATCTCCAGGCAAACTCAGGATAAAATTACGCACGACCATGCAGCATCGCTGCTGTACTCCAAAGGCTTTGGAATCTATGTCGTGGTGGGAATATGATTGGGAACCTGCATTTGATTTGACCCATGCAATATGTTTTACATTCCTCACAGGAACACTGGTGTACGATTTCACAACAGAGCAGCTCTTAGCCAAGATCGACTCGTGGCTTGAGCTTGTGACTTCTGGTCAAGGTCTAAACATAAGGGCCCCCTACTTGAATGACCTTGCCGCAGAGCTCCTGACGTGCCGCTGGCTGGTTGGTGGTGGAGAGGCCAAACCGGCTTTTTATGCTCAGTACGGGGAGGACATCATGGAGGCAAGTGCCTTCGTTCATTTGCGGCTTAATGAAGCTGCGGCACATGGTAGTGCGTTGCTGCAGCCCGTGTTTGCACGAGAGAGCAATGGTTGAAGACATCGCGTCATATATGGACGAAAATGCGTTTCTCTTTCTCGACAGTTTCGAAAAACACATACACCCAAATACATACCTTGCAAATGAGATTTCTGGATGATTTTCGGGCTGGTTTTGGGTTTAAATGTCGAAACCAAATGTCATACACATCACCACACACCACACGCCACACACCACACACCACACGCAACACGCCACACGCCACACACCACACACCACACCTCTTATTTGACCGCCCGGGATGATCGGGTAGGGGTGTCGCGAGCAGCGGCTGTAATCCGCGCCCGCCGCTGGCATCCTGTCCCGGGCGGCTGGGTGGGGAGCAGCTTCCGCCACGCGCCCTCTCTTATTACCATCCCAACCCAACCCGAAGGTCTCGATTTGCCCTCCATTTCCAATTGGGGGGGTCGGGGAACATCGAGAAAACACATGTGGAACCCGTACCCCCCCAACCCGAAATTCGGGTCTTCGGGTTGGGTTAGGGTGGTCTGGTAGGTAGTCAGGGCACCCGCACGGGCGCGAAGAGCACCGCGCTCGCAGCCTGGGCCGGGCAGCTGCTGTTCTCCAGCGGGCGGCGCAAGGGCGCGAGGCAGACTCGCGCCCGGCGCTCCGCGCGGCGCGGAGCGCGAAGTTCGGGGCCCGAGGCAGTCATGGGGCAGCGTTATGGAGGCATCGGCTCTGGGCGGGACCCATCGCTCCCCCATGGCCCACTCATCGTCCATGTGGGGACCCGCTGGCCCACCCTACCCAGGACATGTGAAGCTTCGCTATATCGGGCCCTGCCGCCGATCCACCGGCGACGCATCGCCGAGATTGCAGCTCGAGGTCCCCAGACCCCCGACGCCGTGATTCTTTCACAGCGCCGATCCCCAGAGGTCTGGACCCCTTCCCCGGGACCGGCTTCTCGTCCCGAGTCGATCTCTGACGGCCCCGGGACCCGGGGGGAGGGCCCCCAGAGATGCAGGACAGAGGGAACACCCCCCGTCGCGTCTTCTCCACAGCGCGAGGGGGTCTGGCCCCCCCCCCCGAGCCGGCCCTCCCCGCACGTTCCCCCTCGGGCTGCCGCAGAGAAGGATCCTCGCGGGGGGAGGCGCCGGCCCATCGCCACGGCGTGGAGCGGCGTTTGGGGCCTGGAGGCCCCCCGCGGGGGGCGCGTGTGTCCTGGCGCCAAGATCGCAGACCGGATGTCGCTTTGAAGACAATGGGATGGGCCAGGGCTGTCCCGGAGAGTCTCGATCTGGATTTTGCAGCGAGGTTCGTGCGGACCTTTTCTTTTTTTGCCAGGAGTGAAGGCTACAGCAAATCCCACAGCAGAGCCTGCGTTCATTGCAAAGCCGCCCTGATTGCTATCGAACCAGAGGGGGGGAGAGGAAGGGGAGGACAAGGAGGGGGAGAGGGGAACAAAACAAACCTGTCAGGGCGCGGTGCCGCGAGATATACTGATATAAACCGCCCTCGGTTTTTATCGAGTCGAAGGCGCAATGGTAGCGCTAAGTTGTACATATCGTGAAACGGGAGCGGGAGGAGGAGGAGGAGGAGGAGGAGGAGGAGGAGTCGGATTATCGGCAGCCGTTGGCGGTTTCATTCAGGAGCGGTGCGTTTTATTTGGTCCGGGCTCCAATTGCACGCCTTCGTAACCCGAACTGGCGCGTTTGATATTTCCCAGTTCGCCTGAGGCGTCTTTCAGTGCCTCCTCTTCTTCCTCCTCCTGCCTCTCGTCGTCCTCCTCCTCCTCCTCCTCCTCCTCCTCCCTGAATGTGGTGACGTTTACCCGGCCGGCCACCTTCGATATCTACAGCTATGGAGTTTCAACGCCATTCGCTGCGGCTTTCGATGGGTGCGGTGATAGCCCCCTTGAGGGGAAGCGGACCTGACCCTCTTCACGTCTTGTTGTGCTGTTTGCGACTGTGGGTGGCGTGGCCCCCGGACTCCCCGGCACGATATGCGAGATGGACAGCAAGCTGGCGTGTGCGTTGTCTACCTCTCGCCTCTTCCTCCCCCTTCTCCAAAAAAAAAGGCTACAGCAAATCCGCGTGAGATTCACCTTGTTTTTTCGCTCGCCACTTCGGGTCTCGGCATTGACAGAAGTCCACACAAAAAAGCCGCTGGAGCACGTCTGCAAGGTCGGTGCAGTCACTCGGGCTCCTGCTGCCGCGGCTGCTCCCCGGCCCCCCGCTGCGGGCCAGCCCCCCCCCCCCCGCTCAGAGATCCGACGCTCCGAATCCTAAGAAATTGGAGCCGGCGGCCTTGGGCGCGCGTGCTCGGCCTCCGGGGGCCCTCGCTGGGCCTCGGGGCCCCGCCAAGCACTGACTCGGGACAAGACGCCGGCGCTGCAGGGAAGAGGTCCAGGCAGGCCTCCGGGGCCCACGCATCGGAAACTTCTGTTGTGGCGACCGGATGTTTGGGCGACCGCCGCCCCTCCCCGCCCCTTTTCCCAGAACAAACTTCACAAGGCCGGTGATCTGGTGATCCGGTGATCCGGTGATCCGGCGATCCGGTGATCCGGTGATCCGGTGATCCGGCGATCCGGTGATCCGGTGATCCGGTGATCCGGTGATCCGGTGATCCGGTGATCCGGTGATCCGGTGATCCGGTGATCCGGTGATCCGGTGATCCGGTGATCCGGTGATCCGGTGATCCGGTGATCCGGTGATCCGGCGATATCCGGCGATCCGGTGATCCGGTGATCCGGGGATCCGCGGTGATCCGGAGGTCCGGTGATCCGGTGATCCGGTGATCCGGTGATCCGGTGATCCGGTGATCGGGCCATCCGGTGATCCGGTGATCCAGGGGTCCGGTGATCTGGTGATCCGGTGATCCGGCGATCCGGTGATCCGGCGATCCGGTGATCCGGTGATCCGGTGATCCGGTGATCCGGTGATCCGGTGATCCGGTGATCCGGTGATCCGGTGATCCGGTGATCCGGTGATCCGGTGATCCGGTGATCCGGTGATCCGGTGATCCGGTGATCCGGTGATCCGGTGATCCGGTGATCCGGTGATCCGGTGATCCGGTGATCCGGTGATCCGGTGATCCGGTGATCCGGTGATCCGGTGATCCGGTGATCCGGTGATCCGGTGATCCGGTGATCCGGCGATCCGGTGATCCGGTGATCCGGTGATCCGGTGATCCGGTGATCCGGTGATCCGGTGATCCGGTGATCCGGCGATCCGGTGATCCGGTGATCCGCACTCTGGACCTCTGAGGTCCGCGGAGGCCCCAGAAGTGTCCTCAAAAACACTGGGCATTTTGACTGTCTGGCGGCATCATGTTTCTTCAATATACGTGATGGTGCACATAGGCCCAGCGAGCGTGCCAACAAATCCTTGGCCCAGAGAGCGAAGCGCGGTCATCTTCGCGTCGCGTGCCCCGAGGACGAGACGCGGTCATCTTCGCGCCGCGAGCCCTGACAGAGGGCTCCGGCCACCTAGCTGCGGCGGAGTGTCGGCCACGTTCGCAGGACAGGGCTTGGACTCACCGATGGCTAACAATAAACATGCGCCCGAGCCTGCCACGCCTGACATGTGAAAACAAACGGTAGTGTTATAACGCGGCGTCGGCATGCCGCCCAGAGTTTCTCGTTGCTCCCGAGCGTGCCCGTCCTCGTTGTCGCGCGCGTCCGCCTGGCGCAGCGCCTCTGGGGCAGCCAGGTCAGGCGCCTGGGCCTTCGGGCGCCGGGGGGCCCCAGCCACGCCAGCCTTCCCCGCCTCTCGCGGCGTGCGCTCCCGAGAGCGGCCCTCGCGCGGAGCCGGCGGCCGCGCCGCCCGCCACGGCGCAGGCACCGCCCTCACTGGAGGCGAAGCCGCAGGAGCCGCGGGTGGGACCCACGGCACCCTGGGGGCGCACGCCGGCCCCGGCGGCTGCGCGGCACACGCCGGCCTCGACGGAGGAGCAGCCGCAGCCGGCGGCCCCGGAGACGGGGCCACGGGAGTCGCGGGCGGGACCCACGGCACCCTGGGGGCACGCGCGGGCCTCGGCGGCTGCGCGGCACACGCCGGCCTCGACGGCGGGGCAGCCACGGCCAGCTGCCCCACGGGCAGAATCGCGCGGACAGGCGGGGCGCGGACTGGCCCGGCCTCGCGCACATCGACGCCGTCGGCCACAGAGGCACCGGCCTCGCGTGCTGCGGCGCGCTCGGCCGCCCGGCGCTCCCTCTGCGATTTCCCCATGTTCCGGCGGTGCTAGAGAAGCCGAGGAGTGCCACAGCAAGGAGAGTGCTCGAGCCTGCGTGGCGATGGTTCCGAGGGAGACGAAGCAAGGGGAAGCGGAAGCAAGATACGCAGGAAAAGGAAGCCGCAGGCTCTCCAGGAGTTTACGGAAACCTTCCAGAGGAAGGAGGGAAGAGAATCCCGCCAGCCCTTTTGGGCGACAGGCGGTTTAACGAGATCTTCCTTTCCTCTTCCAAAGAAACCCCTCTTTCCTTCGGGGAAGGGTACCCCCCCCTCCCCTCCCAGGATTGTTTTGGAAGGTTTCGCGAGGGGTTGGAGGAATGAGGAGGAAGCGGAGGCGGACGAGGAGAAGAAGGAGGAAGAGGAAAGGGAGGAGGAGGAGTAGGAGGAGGGCGAAGATGCTCCAAAATGGCACCCGGCATTGCTCAACATCCTCATCACCTCCCTCTCCTTGCTCACTATATATGTGTCTAGTATTGCCATTTCCCGCCAGCTCTCATGGGCAGGGCTTCTGAATTGGCTGGCGGGGTTACGCGAAGCGTGAATAATTCCTTTCTTGGACGGCGTGGGCCTTCTAATAGCCTCCGGAAACTCCACCGAGGCAGCAGGGAGAAGGCTCCAGGTCTTTCACTGCATGTGCCCCTCCTGCGGCCTCTGGGCCCTCCGGACACTCCGCCGAGAGAGGAGGGAGCGAACTTCAAGTTTTTGGACGTGTTGGGCCGCGCAACGCCTGAGGCCCCTGGCGACCTCCGAGGACTCCGACGGGGAAAGAAGGAAGAGAAGCCAAGGATGTCGACGTCTCAAGCCCTCCTTGGGCCTCCCAGAACT